TACACAAGTACCATACATATCAAGATTTGCGACAACCTGGAGACGTTATATTATAAATCTTATTACGACTAACTAGTATGAGAGTTTCATTTTGAAACTTGTTTAACTCATAAGAATAATCAAAAAGTAAGCACAAATTATGCTCGTAATGGGCGTATACGTAATTCACGAAATATAATAACTCAAATCAACAAACATGCCCAATTAACCAATAGCAACCATAGTACACTATTATTATTTTAATCTGTAACAACAACAACATTTTATTATTTAGTTTATTTTTTTCTGGACAGATTGCGCCACTGTTGTATTTTTGACATCCATATTTCCTACTTTCTGGTGGATTTTTCTAAACAAAAGTGGTCCTATGACCTCCAGCAGACTGTCAAGTATAACAGTAAACAATTTCAGCCAAATCGGTTCTGTAGTTTTCTCGGTTAGCGCGGTCTAAGAAAACCCTTACCATTTTTTATAATAGTACCTATAGATAATAATTTATTATCTATTAGTATTATAGAAACGTACATGATAATCATATGTTTAAAAAAAATTTCTTTATTTGTATGCAACGTCGAAAAATTAAATTTGTTTCTCAAACCAAATTATGTGAATTTTTTTAAGAAGTGTGTCTGTAAATATTTTTTTTATCATCTTGTAGATCGTATCTTTGAGGGATTTACCCCCAACTCTTATAAGTTCACAGACCTATAATATGAATTAATACATATTACATAAATATGTCTTATGTTTTATGATCTAAGTTTGTAAATACTATATTCTATAATTTAAATTTGGTCAATTTCAATATAATATATATTCTTTGGATTTGTCAATACTAAAATGTTGAGACCAGAATCAAAACTATTTCTCGGATTTTAAAGAACTATAAATAATAAAAAAAAAAGTTCACTAACGAAAAATTGATGATAATCTTGTGTTTTACTGGATTTGTCGATGTGGAACATGGATACAGATTGCAGACTATTATTGATCCAAAAGCCTTTTTAAATTAAGTGGACGTTACAGTGGCATTTGCCTTTTGGATCAATAATATGAATATTATTTTCAATAATAGTCTGTATCCGTGTTATACATCGACAAATCGAATAAAACAAAAGATTATCGTCAATTTTTCTTTGGTATTGTCTATTGAATATGTATAAATAGCCGTTTATATCCAATGTATCACACTTTTCATAAATGGATGGAGTGACGGTCAAACTTAATTCTATTTTTATTAAATTATACAAAAACTTTAAAAAATAACTTTTTGTAGACTGAGTGACTCTATTCGTTTTCGTAGACTGAGTTACTGATGACAAACTATATTATATCGTGCAAGAGTCAGTTAAGAATATAGTTTGTCATTAGTATCTCTGCAGTCTACGAAAACGAATGACTATAAAAAGATGTTTTTAAATTGTTTGCATAATTTAATGAAAATAGAATTAAGTTTGACCGTCACGCCATCCATTTATGAAAAGCGTGATACGAATCTAGGGAAAAAAAACCCAGGAAAAAAAGCCCCGTACCAACTAAATACATTATTCTTTTTTATTATGATTTACATAATTAAATATAATCATATTATAATCATTACATTTATCAATGTACCTAACACTTCTAAATAATCTATAACCATAAAATATATAATGTTCTAAAATACTAGTTTAATATTTTGTAAATAAATAAACTGTTAGTGTTAAAACATTAATGTTAACAATTGTTTTTCATTAATTTATTATTAAAATAACTATTATATTATTAGTTATGTATCTAATTTAATATTTATTATACTAGACAATACATTTATTTTGTTAAAAGGTAACTATATAAAAAAAAAAATTACATCTAGTATATGATATTAAACAATAACTAATTATATCACAGTTAAAAAATTATAATATAACATAAACCATAAATCAAAACGTATACTATAATAAAGAGTTCAATAGTGGCCGAGCGGTCTAAGGTGTCGGTTGCGACGCAGCCGTCGCCGCGCCGGATCGATTCCCGGCCGAGGGTGGTATTTTTCTTAGGGCAAGTCATGGTGTCCGGAGAACAAGTCCCGCAATCTCCAACCCGGTCATGACAGATACCTACGGGTGCCCAAATCGAAAATTCTGCCAAAATACACACTAAAAGTATATACAAATTATATACCTACCTTCTATACATATGGTATAGTACACTGTATAAGGTGTATGTTGATGATGATGATGATGGTAAACAATAATAATATATGGCCGCCAATATGATATAGGAAATAGGAATAATAATCGGTTTATAGCGCGCCGACTGAATGTCAAACGAAACGGTTCGATCATACACGTGCCACACGCTGACACCTCGGCTAGCCTATTATATCAGATAGGTATCGCGTAATATCGCATTGATTATAAAATATGTAGTATTATTAGTATTTAATATTAGCAGCTAATAACCGATGGTTTAAAGCGTCGGAAACTCGGACGTCCTGTTGTAGTATATTATCATACACTATTATGATAATAATTATGACTCTATACCTACGCCAATAACGCGTGGAGGAATACATTATAATAATAATAATATGGGAGAGTGCGTGCTGTGTGCGTCATAAATCATAATAACATACACGTATAGACAAGTGTTTTAAGACTTTTAACCTGCGACAGGTTATTAATACACATAGGTAATAATGTAAGTTCAACGTAATATAGAGTTCATCGAACATTTTTGAACTACGTTGACAACACTTTAATAAAATTGAGTGTCCCAACCACGACTAAATCCCAGTCCTAAAATCTCTTGAGCTAAGCACTTTAGCCAAACCGTAGGAAAGCAGCAAATCTCACCTTTTTGGTCAAATTTTTAAAGGGGAAAATTGACTCCCCGTACTCACACGTTCAAGTCTCTTTTGACGTTCCAGTCCGAACCTCTCGCCATACTGTTCATTTTCACTTGCCACCTCTTCAACTAACTATGGTCAAAATGAACCACTACGCCGCTGCAAGCTAATTAAGACCCTTCCTTCTCACTAAATAATTTTTATTTTTTCCATGTATAAACTATTTATTGTACTAAATTGTGATATTGTAAATTGGGCGAAAGCCCGTCATGTATTATAAAATAAAATAAAATAATATACGTAAATATATACGCAGGGTCTTAAAATTTCAAAAATTTATTTTCTTGAAATATATCATGAAATATTTCATTTCTGTGAAAAACAAAAATAAAAATTATATTACGAGTATATCTAAAAGTCTATAATTGTCATCTTCCAAGTGAATATTTTTAAAAGTTGGTTTATTGTATGAAACAAAGAAAATATGTAACATATTTACATATAAATATATCAAATCTATAATATCCAGTACAGTCTCGACTTTCATGACGGTCTAACGTGCGTTGTTAGTCGTGTCTTATCGCTGATTATCGTCCGTGCGTCTCGTTAATCGTCTTTTTTTTTCGGTCATTACCTTGCTTTTATCTTATACTATAAATTGTTCAAACTGAATCCACTACATATCTTATCTACTCTACCGCTTTATAGCTGAGCAGTGGTCTTACGTACGTTGTATCGGTTTTTCCGCTTGACCCTGATAAATTTGTACGTGGTATAGCAGGCTGCCTGTCGTTCATCTGCTCCGTCATATTGTGTTGCCTAACTCAAATCTACCAGGCGTCTAGCGTTAAACTGGTTGCCTTCTTCATCAGTATAAGGTACATTATTTTATTTTTGTCAAATATGCCTACTACGCCTATGATCACTCGTTCAAACAAAGGATCTAACTTGACATCCATTGCTAAGAAGGTAGTTACTTTAGATGATATTTGGAAATCCTTGGTTACTATTCAGGAGAGTGTTTCTTCTCATGATATAAAACTTGAAACCATTGTAAAAAATATAGAAGGATTTGAAATTAGTATAAAATCATTCTCTACTGCTATTGATAATCTTACCACTGAATTAAACCTTGTTAAGGAGGAAAAAGCTTCTTTAGCTCTTGAAGTTAAATCACTTCATGAAAAAATCAGCGAGCTGGAGTCCGAGCACCATTGTGGTCCTGCCACACATGAATACAACATTTATCAAGAGTCTCTTGAAAGGATGTCAAAGGCAAACTGTTCGAGGATTGATGTCGAAGGACCAGCCGAGTATGTCTCGACAGAAGAAAACGGTTTATTTTATGTTTTTTGTTTAACACCCGAATTCCGGGTGGATAGGCAACCCAACACCTCCTAACCTAACGCCTGAGAGTTGGTTGGATAGGCAACCTAACACCTGAAGATTTCGTTATCGTATGTTGCCCCCCGAAATTCCGTGCATAGGCAATCTAACATACGGCGACTCTGAACGAGAGATTCAACGTTAGGAAGGAGGTAGGTACAGGTTAATTATGGGGACGGGAATGCTTTATGGCCGGTCCGGTCTGGTGCAATAACCACAGAGCGTTTACATAGTTGTGAGAGGTTCTTAAAATTAACTTAAAATTACTGAAGATTATGAAGTTGGTGCCGATATTGACGTCTCGACGACCTTGGACGGCCTCTCACACACCCACCTGCGGGTGCTGGCGGACTTACGCTCCGGTTGTACGAGCAAAGTGATATTGAAAAGAGACTTACTCAATACAGAAGAACCCACGGATCGAACGACGCATTTACCAGCACAGGCTCCGGCTCATGAGTAGGTACAGGCACGGAAGACGGGAATGACGTAACACAGTATTTTTGTATAGGTGGAATTTATTTACCGATAACGTATTGAACAACGACGGAAGTTCGGGCCTCAGTAGCGCCGAACAACCAGGAATGGAAAGATTGACTTTCCCAACAATTGCCGTAATGGCGAGAAAAAACGAAAAATAAAAGAAAACAGAATATAAGTACGTGCCTCAATGGCGACGACAACAATAATGATAATAATATGACCACAGGTGGTCGTAATATAGGTTAATGAATAAAATAATAACAACGATAGTGGAACACGATATGGGAAAAAAAGAAAGAGATTACACTAGGATTTTTATCGCCGTATGTCGACGGCGGCGCGATAACGACATTTCGGTGTGGCGCGCAAACATCACCGCCCACGTTGAAGGGATCTTCAAGAGGATGGGAATGGGCACAATTTGACGGCAGGCAGGGCGAACATTGTGCCCGGTGGCCGTGTCAACAGTGGCAACAAGGGCGACTCCGTCTGCCCCAGGGTGCAGTTGACGGACCCGTCCTATTGTCCAATGAAGTGGATGTGTGGCCTCTCGAATGAGTACAAGATCACCAACACGCAGACTCTTTCCATCAGAGCACCATTTTGAGCGAACTTGAAGGGTCGAGAGATACTCGTTTTTCCATCTTGCCCAAAAATGACGATGTATATCTGTTATGAGACGCCATCGAGTGAGTTTTGACAATGGAACATTCTCCAAGTGTGGGTCTGGAAGAGATGTAGATGGTTCAAGTGTCAAGAAGTGACTGGGTGTGAGCGCTTCGAGATCTGACGGGTCACCCCAGCTTCCCATAACCCACTGAAGTGAGGGGACGATGGTGGGTTGAAATGCCATTGGATGTTAGATGTCGCAAGATGAGTCATCACACAATTTTGAAATGCCGTAGAGGTTATAAGTGTTTGGACTGGGTTTAACAACCGAGCAGCACCAACAAAATTCATACCGTTATCACTGTGGATTTCTTTCACTGGACCTCGGCGTGCAGTGAAGAGTGTTAAAGCTAACAGGAACATTTCCGTGGACAAGTCTGAGCTTAGTTCTAGATGAATGGCTTTGGTATTAGTGCATACGAATAAACAGATATATGCCACCAAAGAACTGGAGTTCCGTCCTCGGGCCCTCTTGAGGGTAATCGGACCAGCATAATCAACCCCAGCAATTGCAAATGGTTTGATTTGTTGAACTCGGTATTTTGGAAGTGCCGCCATTTTGGGTTGAATGGATAGTGGCCGCGTACGGAAACAAGGGATGCAGAGGCGCAACCGTGATCGGATCACACGTCGCGCTGATTGAATCCAATACGTCCGTTGTAAATAGATTTGTAACGCAGATGCCCCAGGATGTTTTAATCGGTGATGGTGGTAATCAATGACCAGATCTGTCAATCGATGAGACGATGGCATGAGAATAGGATGTTTATGCTCGTATGGAAGGTCAGCATTTTGCAGGCGACCACCCACTCTGAGGAGCCCATCCTTTGCCAGAAATAAGTCTAATTTGCGAACGGGTTTTGAGCATGGCCACCCTTTTGCTAACAGATCAATCTCTGGTTTGTATACTGATTGTTGGACACTGAAAATAAGTGCAGAAAGAGCGTCATGAATTTCCTCCGCACTGAACACTGTGGGAAACTGATCCAATTGTTTCAGCATTTTCAATTTTTTCACTGTTTTGAATCTTAAACAGTACGCATAAATTCGAGAAATTTTGTCCAATGATGAATACCGATCAAGCAATGTGACCACGGAAGAGCCGACTGTCAGACATACTCCAGCAGACTTTCGGACCTCATCATCTGGAGTGGCAGTAAGGAGATCTAGCGAATGATCAGTGGACGATGGCCATTGATCAGGAGATTCCAATAGAAATGGTGGGCCATGCCACCAAAGAGGGTGGTTTATGAGCTCAGATGGGTAAAATCCACGAGACGCACAATCAACTGGGTTACATTTGGTGGGAACGTGTCTCCAAATCGAAGGATTGGACTGGTGCGGTTTGCAACAAAGGTTGCCCAACGATGTGGTGACGAACGAATCCAAGCAAGCGCTGTGGTCGAATCAGTCCATGCAGTAAGTTTGTCGACGTGTAGGCGATCTTGGGACGTGACGACAGTGGAACGAATGAGTTGGGCTGCGAGAAGAGCTCCACACAATTCCAGTCGGAGGATGGTTACATGTTTTAGCGGAGCGACTCGAGTTTTAGCAGTAACAAGATGACAATGGACGGCTGCATGACTTTCAACTCGGAGATAAACAGCCGCATCATATCCCTTTTGAGAGCTGTCTGCAAATGCATGAAGCTGGACAGATAGTGCATCATCTGCAGTTATCCGTCGAGGAATGTGAAGATTTTGCACTAAATGAAGTTCTGAATGATATCTTGCCCATTGGGAAGACAGATCGGAAGGTATGGGATCATCCTAGTTGGTCCCAGCAATCCAAAGGCATTGCATGAAATGTTTGATCCAGAACGTAGTAGGTGCGAGCAATCCTAACGGGTCAAACGTTCTAGCGAGATCAGACAACACGGATCGTTTGGTAGGACTTTTGGATGATGGTTGTGTATGGAACGAAAAGGAACCCGCAGAGGAATCTCCTCAAGTCAGCGAAAAGGTAAGAGTTTTCACTCTGACACATACCTCGGATTAATAGCTTATATTAAATTAGTAATAAGTTATTCGACCAGGAGTGTGTTTGCCGGTTAGCTAGGACCCCATAGAGAACATTGCGTAACATTTATTTCTAGAACGTAACTGGGAATTCCGCGCAACCGTGCATAACCGTGATACTGATTGGGAAGTAGTTATATAACAACCACCACCCCTCCGCAACGCCTACCTTTCGCACCGCGACATTATCGCCGATAACAACAGAGCACGCAGGCCAGCTTGCCCTAAGGTGCTCCTCTAGCCTGACGTACACATCCAGCTTCGACCCGCTACGACTCGACTCGCCGACGACAACTGCTGTAACGTTTTTTCCGACATTGTGTAAAATTGTTTACCAATGTGGTCGTTACGCTGTTGTATGGTCAGTGGCTTGTGCTTGTTGCGCGGTGTACACGGTTTTGAGGAGGCTTTTTGTTTTTCTTTTTTAAATTTCGCGCGCTAACCAAGGATTTCCAAATATCATCTAAAGTAACTACCTTCTTAGCAATGGATGTCAAGTTAGATCCTTTGTTTGAATGAGTGATCATAGGCGTAGTAGGCATATTTGACAAAAATAAAATAATGTACCTTATACTGATGAAGAAGGCAACCAGTTTAACGCTAGACGCCTGGTAGATTTGAGTTAGGCAACACAATATGACGGAGCAGATGAACGACAGGCAGCCTGCTATACCACGTACAAATTTATCAGGGTCAAGCGGAAAAACCGATACAACGTACGTAAGACCACTGCTCAGCTATAAAGCGGTAGAGTAGATAAGATATGTAGTGGATTCAGTTTGAACAATTTATAGTATAAGATAAAAGCAAGGTAATGACCGAAAAAAAAAGACGATTAACGAGACGCACGGACGATAATCAGCGATAAGACACGACTAACAACGCACGTTAGACCGTCATGAAAGTCGAGACTGTACTGGATATTATAGATTTGATATATTTATATGTAAATATGTTACATATTTTCTTTGTTTCATACAATAAACCAACTTTTAAAAATATTCACTTGGAAGATGACAATTATAGACTTTTAGATATACTCGTAATATAATTTTTATTTTTGTTTTTCACAGAAATGAAATATTTCATGATATATTTCAAGAAAATAAATTTTTGAAATTTTAAGACCCTGCGTATATATTTACGTATATTATTTTATTTTATTTTATAATACATGACGGGCTTTCGCCCAATTTACAATATCACAATTTAGTACAATAAATAGTTTATACATGGAAAAAATAAAAATTATTTAGTGAGAAGGAAGGGTCTTAATTAGCTTGCAGCGGCGTAGTGGTTCATTTTGACCATAGTTAGTTGAAGAGGTGGCAAGTGAAAATGAACAGTATGGCGAGAGGTTCGGACTGGAACGTCAAAAGAGACTTGAACGTGTGAGTACGGGGAGTCAATTTTCCCCTTTAAAAATTTGACCAAAAAGGTGAGATTTGCTGCTTTCCTACGGTTTGGCTAAAGTGCTTAGCTCAAGAGATTTTAGGACTGGCATTTAGTCGTGGTTGGGACACTCAATTTTATTAAAGTGTTGTCAACGTAGTTCAAAAATGTTCGATGAACTCTATATTACGTTGAACTTACATTATTACCTATGTGTATTAATAACCTGTCGCAGGTTAAAAGTCTTAAAACACTTGTCTATACGTGTATGTTATTATGATTTATGACGCACACAGCACGCACTCTCCCATATTATTATTATTATAATGTATTCCTCCACGCGTTATTGGCGTAGGTATAGAGTCATAATTATTATCATAATAGTGTATGATAATATACTACAACAGGACGTCCGAGTTTCCGACGCTTTAAACCATCGGTTATTAGCTGCTAATATTAAATACTAATAATACTACATATTTTATAATCAATGCGATATTACGCGATACCTATCTGATATAATAGGCTAGCCGAGGTGTCAGCGTGTGGCACGTGTATGATCGAACCGTTTCGTTTGACATTCAGTCGGCGCGCTATAAACCGATTATTATTCCTATTTCCTATATCATATTGGCGGCCATATATTATTATTGTTTACCATCATCATCATCATCAACATACACCTTATACAGTGTACTATACCATATGTATAGAAGGTAGGTATATAATTTGTATATACTTTTAGTGTGTATTTTGGCAGAATTTTCGATTTGGGCACCCGTAGGTATCTGTCATGACCGGGTTGGAGATTGCGGGACTTGTTCTCCGGACACCATGACTTGCCCTAAGAAAAATACCACCCTCGGCCGGGAATCGATCCGGCGCGGCGACGGCTGCGTCGCAACCGACACCTTAGACCGCTCGGCCACTATTGAACTCTTTATTATAGTATACGTTTTGATTTATGGTTTATGTTATATTATAATTTTTTAACTGTGATATAATTAGTTATTGTTTAATATCATATACTAGATGTAATTTTTTTTTTTATATAGTTACCTTTTAACAAAATAAATGTATTGTCTAGTATAATAAATATTAAATTAGATACATAACTAATAATATAATAGTTATTTTAATAATAAATTAATGAAAAACAATTGTTAACATTAATGTTTTAACACTATAACAGTTTATTTATTTACAAAATATTAAACTAGTATTTTAGAACATTATATATTTTATGGTTATAGATTATTTAGAAGTGTTAGGTACATTGATAAATGTAATGATTATAATATGATTATATTTAATTGTGTAAATCATAATAAAAAAGAATAATGTATTTAGTTGGTACGGGGCTTTTTTTCCTGGGTTTTTTTTCCCTAGATTCGTATCACGCTTTTCATAAATGGATGGCGTGACGGTCAAACTTAATTCTATTTTCATTAAATTATGCAAACAATTTAAAAACATCTTTTTATAGTCATTCGTTTTCGTAGACTGCAGAGATACTAATGACAAACTATATTCTTAACTGACTCTTGCACGATATAATATAGTTTGTCATCAGTAACTCAGTCTACGAAAACGAATAGAGTCACTCAGTCTACAAAAAGTTATTTTTTAAAGTTTTTGTATAATTTAATAAAAATAGAATTAAGTTTGACCGTCACTCCATCCATTTATGAAAAGTGTGATACATTGGATATAAACGGCTATTTATACATAT